ATAGTTCATTTTTGACAAAGAGGTTTTAGTAGCAGTGGAGTGAGGAGGAGCCAAACTGTAGAGCCTTGAAGCTTCTGGATGACCATAAGGAGACGGAAGGGAGAGGGGGACAGACTGGGTGGGTCAGGGGGTTGGCAGCAGGGTTTCTCAGCCTCAGCACTAGTGACCGTTCCTGGTGGCGGGGAGCTGTCCTGTGCCTTGGAGAACCGCCCCGCCCGGGTTGTGACCACCAGAGAATGTCTCCATGTTGTCCCGTGCCTCCCGGGGGCCAGATTCCTTGGTGAGACCTGGTCTGCAGGGTGAGCGCAGATTGCTTCCCCCAGGTGCCAGGGCAGAGTAATCCCCTCTGCTGCACCCACTGCTCCGTCTCCGGCTGGTGTTTTAACCGCATGGGGCAGGGGGGCGGTGCGGAGCTCCCCCAGAAGCGTGTGGAAAACTGCAGGCATCCGGGGGAGGATTACCCAGTCTGGGAGGGCAGGGGCAGCAGAGCAAACCCACCGTGGAGAAGAGGCACCCTTGACGTTAGAGGGGGTGAGCAGAGGCCGTTACTAGTGGATGAAGATTGTTTTAGCTCACGCTAGGTGGCCGCAAGCTTCTCACTAAGAAGGGCAAAAAGGTCACCTGAGAATGAAGTAGAGTTAAGATTGGGCCTTTGAGGAAATTAAAGTTTCACTAACACACGAGTGATGAAAGCCTTGTGGAGCAGCAGTGAGTCCTAGTTCAATAGGGAACTCTAAAAAGTGTGTTAAAAACATTAATTAAAATCTTGGGGAAGAAAACCTACAGCCCGACCACTGTAATGCTATTTTTACTTGTGCATTTTACCATCTAGACTTACTAAATTTTTAGCCTTTTTATTTTGCTTATTTCCCTGAACGTTGTAGATTACAGCGTTACTGGACTGTTACTTCCATTATTTTTAATGGCTGTGTAATAGTCCAGAGATCGGTTCTTCAGTTTACCAGACAGCCCTCTAATTACTGACCTGGTGGTATCCAGTTTTTAATACCATTATACCGAAAGTTTCAGTAAACATTCTTATGCCCAGAGCTTTGCCACATTATGTTAGTGGATGCAGGACAAGTCTAATACAGTGCTAAACACAGAGCACAAAACGTGCTGGCTTAAACTGCCACCTCGGAGCTCCTGGGTGGCTCAGAAGCATCCGACTCTTGATTTTGGCTCAGGTCATGATCATGAGGTTGAGCCCCATATTGGACTCTGCTTGGGATTCTCTCTCCATCTCCCTTTGCCCCTCCCACTCATTCTCTCTTTCTCCCTATCTTCAGTCAATCAATCAGTCTTCAAAAAAGCTACCTCCATGAGTCCTTCCACATTTAAAATTGCAACCCTCAGGGAAACAAAAGCAAAAATGAACTATTGGGACTTCATCAAGATAAAAAGCTTATGCACAGCAAAGGAAACAGTCGGCAAAACAAAAAAGACAACTGACAGAATGGGAGGAGATATTTGCAAATGTCTTATCGGATAAAGGGCTAGGATCCAAAAATCTATAAAGAACTTATCAAACTCAGCACTCAAAGAACAAATAACCCACTCAGGAAATGAGCAGAAGACATGAACAGACATTTCTCCAAAGAAGGCATACAAATGGCCAACAGACCATGAAAAAATGCTCAAGATCGCTTGGCATCAGGGAAATCCAAATCAAAACCTCAATGAGATACCACCTCACACCAGTCAGATGGTAAAATTAACAAGTCAGGAAACGACACATGTTGGTGAGGATGCGGAGAAGGGGACCCCTCCTACACTGTTGGTGGGAATGCAAACTGGTGCAGCCACTCTGGAAAACAGTATGGAGGTTCCTCAAAAAGTTGAAAATAAAGCTGCCATATGATCCAGCAATTGCACTACTAGATATTTATCCATAAGATACAAACGTAGTGATCCGAAGGGGCACCTGCACCCCGATGTTTATAGCAGCAATGTCCACAATAGCTGAACTATAGAAAGAGCCCATATATCCATCGACAGATGAATGGATAAAGAAGATGTGTATATATACGATGGAATACTACTCAGCCATCAAAAAAAATGAAATCTTAATCATTTGCAACGATGTGGATAGAACTAGAGGGTATTATGCTAAGTGAAATAAGTCAGAGAAAGACAATTATATGATCTCATGTGGAATTTAAGAAAACAGAGGATCATAGGGGAAGGGAGGGAAAAATAAAATGAAATCAGAGAGGGAGACAAACCATAAGAGACTCTTAAGTATAGGAAACAAACTGAGGGTTGCTGGAGGGGGAGGGGGTTGGGGGGATGGGGTAACAGGGTTGGGTGATGGGCATTAAGGAGGTAAGGTGATGTGATGAGCACTGGGTGTTAAATACAACTGATGAATCACTGAACTCTATGGAAACTAATAATACACTATATGTTGATTAATTGAATTTAAATAAAATAAAATTCAATTAAAAATAAAATCTCAGCTCTCAACCCTCATCTCATCTCTGCTTTATTTTTCTCTGTAGCACTTGGCTCTCTTCAAAAATGGCAGCTGTATTATTTAATCTGACTGCTGTTGTCTCCCTTGCTAAGTATATAAACTCCCAACAGGCTGAGAGTTTTGGTTTGTATCACCAGCACCTGGAATACTGCCTGGCCCATAAATACTTGCTGAATGGTGGGGTTTACCCAGACCTGCAGGCAAAATGGGTTTGGAAGAGTGTCAGTTGCCCCAGATATTCATGAAATCAGTAAGAGAATAATTGCATTGACTAGTTGTTGGTATCTAGACAGACTAGGAAGCAACACAAATTCACAGGGACAAGGAATTAGGAGATTGAAGGGTTAGCACTTAGGGGTAATTGTGGCAACAGAAGCACATTCCTCTGGAAGGAGAGCTTGGGAGCTGTAGAAGGTAAATAGTTTGTGGTTACAGACGGGAATTTCTCAAGGTTTAGATAGTAGAAAGGGAAGTTTGAGAAGTGGTAGTATGGCAAGGTTGGTAGAAAACTCCATTTTGCTGGGAATGGGTTGTGTCCCTTTTTAATTGCCCCTGCTTTGGCAGATAGTCCTCTCTTATTTGGTTCACAGTGGCGTGGTGGTATATAAATCAAGTTGTGTTTTCAGAGGCCTTTTTTTTTTTTTTATTAGAGTATGGCTATATGTGGTAATCCGAGCAATCAGGTATGCTGGTTATGTCTGTCCGACAGTTAATTACCCAGAGTTAGTGGCAATGTCCACCCAAGCTTCAAAGCTGAATTTACAGAGAAGCTGCGTCCCCCCTCATTTGGTGTAGCTGATTGGCTTCTTAGTTGAGTCATTCAGTTGAACTTTTAAGTGACTATCTTACAAGTAGAATTGGCCCTTGAACAATGGGAGGGTTAGGGGTGCCAACCCCCTGCGCCAGCAAATATCCGAATATAACTTTTGACTCCCCAAAAACTTAATAGCCTACTGTTGATTGAAAGCCTTACCAGTAACATTAAACAGCCAATTAACATGAATTTTGTGTTACGTGTATTATATACTGTATTCTTACAATCCAGTAAGCCAGAGAAAAGATGTTAAGAAAGTCATAAGAAGTGGGGCACCTGGGTGGTCAGTCATTAAGCGCTGCCTTCGGCTCAGGTCATGATGCCAGGGTCCTGGGATGGAGCCCCGCGTCGGGCTCCCTGCTCCGCGGGGAGCCTGCTTCTCCCTCTGCCACTCCCCCTGCTTGTGTTCCCTCTCTCACTGTGTCTCTCTCAAATAAATAAATCTTAAAGTCATAAGAGAAAATACGTTTACAGAACTCTACTGTATTTATGAGCAGAAAAAAAAAAAAATCTGTGTGTAAATGGACCTGTGCAGTGCAAACCTGTGTTGCTCAAGAGTCAGCTGTACTTTTCTACTTGAGGTCACTTTACTCCCAGTAGAGCAGCTTGGTAAATACGTAAAAGATTGAGCATAGTGTATGCTAGGTTCATTTTCAGCAGCTGCTGGGGTGTCACTCTCGAGAATGGACATTACAGTAGTTTCCTTTCAGAACAGCCTTCATCATTACCTTCAGCCAGCACACGATTACTCAGTTCTAGGCTTCATAATACAGCATATAGTTAGTTTCAAATTCCAGTTACTGTGTGGTGAGTTGTTCTGACAGACAGGTATGATTTAGTAAATAAAACACTGCACAGAGGGTTTCCTTGTCCTTTTTGTCAGTGTGTAGCATGTCTGTTATTTCTTCGTGCTTGATTCTGTTTTACTTCCATTTTAAAACATAATGATCTCAAACATCACCTTCCTCCTCCTTCCAGAATCTCTGGGATACTTTACCAATCTCCTGGTTCATAAAGAGATTTCATGTTTTGAGGCCTGTCCCAGAAATGTTTCTTTACATATCTGTGCCTTTGTTGGTTTTATTTGTAGATGAGGTATGTTTATGATGATATTAGCTGAGCAAGGTCATTCATTTTTTTAAATTAAAAAAATGTTAACCTGAAGTTCTTAGAACCAAGTGCTTCTTCATAATTGTATTGACGAGTGTGATATGATATGGGATCGTAGTCTTTGCATAGTTGACCTTGAGAGTTGTTAATGAAAGTTGGAGTGCCCTTGCATGGGTTATAGTGATTCCTTCTTCCCAATATGATCGACTGCAGTTAGCATATGGTACAACCCAATTTAAGAGAAGTGCTTAATATAAGCCCTGCTTCTGTTGAAAACCAAGCTAAGACCATCCTCCTTACATTTCCTCATTAGTTGGGTGTTAGCATAATACTAACTATTTTAAGCTCCCAGACCTCTCTTTATCTTGATCAAGAGAACATTCTTAGGGAGGAATCCTGCCGTTTTCATTTAATCCATTTGTGACCTCTTATGAGGTGGATGGAACAGTTACTTATATGCCTGGGTCACTGGGGAACTCTACAAACCAGATTTCTGCTGCAGAGCCTCCAGAGCAGTGGGGTAAGACTGAGAGGGAAGAGCCCTGCCAGGGGTGAGGGAGCAGAGCGTATGTAGACTAACCAGAGACTGCTTGCTTACAGAGAGAATGCTGGGGAACCAGACTCCTGGAGCAGTTTATCCTATGAAATCCCGTATGGAGACTGTTCTGTGCGACATCATCGAGAGTTGGACGTCTATACTTTAACCTCTGAGTCCGAATCACATCATGAAGCCCCATTTCCTGGAGACCGTTGCACTGGACATATTTTTAAACTTATGAACATCCAACAGCAGCTAATGGTAAGGAAGAAAATCCATTTTCAGGCTTTTGTGCCCTCGCTCTTTCTCCCAGTGAACCTTCCTCTAATTAGAACTTAGAAATGCTTTCCTCAAAGACTGTGATACCTAAAGCAGTTTTAGCAGCATTAGATGTTATAGACACAGAACAGCAACAGGGACTGGGAATTTTTCTTTTCTTTTCTTTTTTTTTTTTTTGCCAAGTTTTTGAAATAATGGAAGATACACATACACACTGCAGATACAGAAATATGCAACGACTAGAACTCAATTTTCTTGGCATAAAAGGAAATTCGTCTGTTTATAAATTTGTCAGTTTAGCTTTATAAAGCTAAATGAGCAAAACAGTTTCTGAGATTGTTGCTAAAGAACCAGGACCACATTTACTTAAAAATAAAGCCTTTTCACAACTATTTCAATGAGTGATGATAATGTTACTATATTTAAATTGATAGTTGTATGGTAAAAAGATCACTAAAAAAATAAAGATTTTATAATCCACTCAAGCCTTCAAGATAAAGTTGTTGCCAGACGTAAAAACATTACAGACTCTCTGGTAGCATTTATTATGGAGAATATAAACGTCATATGGGTACATGTCTCTTGGCCATAACATCTGAAAGGCTAAGTTTAGATAATTTTTCCACCCAGTTTATTTCAGAGCTGATTTGATTTGGAAAAAGCTTGACAGTAATTTCATTTAAGGTCATCTAGGGTCAGCTCAGTACCAGAAGGAAAGTCATAAGAGTACCAGTTACGAGCAGGGAGCAGGCATTATATTGGAGGCCATCAGGCCAAGACACTTTACAGCAGGGGTGTGTGATGTGCCCACCTTTCCCTTTCTCAGTCGTGTTTGTGCCAGGACAGGTGTCCTTTTCTTTTCCTCTGAACGGCTTGCCAAGAAGCCCGATTTTTCCCTTGGAGCTCTTCTTACTAGTCCAGTTGAAAATACCAGCTTGCAGGTGCTGGAGTTACTGCATGATATGGGAATATTTGACAGGAAACTGAGAAGTTAAAACTCTGACAGGATGCGTGTGTTAGGAGCTTCTAAAACAACACTTGTTTCCCCGAATCTCTGTTCTTTATTAAATGGAATGACCTGCTTTCATGATCTTTAAGAGACGGTGCACTCTCACGGGAACGGGAGCAAGCTAGATTTGAACACTCTACGGAGCACAGCGCAGAAGCTTTTAGTGAAAGTCCGTTTTTCTTGTACTCTCTTAGTAGAAAGACTTTAGTTGAGCACAACACATTGTATGCTCGTACATGTAAACTTTTACAACAGACCTGGTAGGTAGACAGGACTAGTCTGATGTTGGAGAACTAGAAGTATTCTGAGGGAGTAAGTGAACGAGGACAGTGCACAGTAGATATGCACGAGCTTATCGCAGTAGGTCAGAGAATGGGGAAGAGCAAACATGTTTTAAAAATCATTTTTATTTGTTGAGCAAATTGTAGTATTGTAGTATTGTAAGAATTTCTGAAATCTTGTTAGAAAGGCAAACCCACCGTAAAGATGAGCTGTATTTGGTCTTTTCCATTTTTCCTAAGCCTTGTCTACATGTACATGTAAATTTTGCATACTTATGACCTTAGATTAACCCTAGGTTTTATCCATTTTTTTCAGCATTGTGTCATAAATCTGTATTTTAACCTTTACCATGGTCTTCATAGTTAACAGCATGGCCTTGCCATCAGGTTGACCAGCCATGATTTTTTTAACCACTCCCATGTAGTTGGTAATATCTGTTTGTTTTTTAAAATACTGTAAAGTTGCAAAACGCAGTTTTGACATGACCTATAGTATCCTCAAGCCACAGTGCTATCTAAGAATTATCAGGAATTGGATCTTATTTCATATTCAATACTAGCCAACAGAGGAACCACTTTTTTCAAAACAAAAGACTATCTGCCATGCTACTGTTCTTGAAATTATGAACCCGTCAAGAAAAGCGGTAAGCTAGATTGAGTGGAGCCTCTCTGGGGGTGTTAAAGGACACTGTGTAACTCCTCAATAAGAATTTCAGGTGCAGGCACATGGCCTGCACCTTGCAATTGACAAGACTTGACCACACTGGTTAGGACTTCTTTTACTCATATACATGAGGTGGAATGGAAGCACCTCTACTCCTCTCAAGACCCTATAAAAATATCTTTCTTAGCTGAAGGTAGTCACTGTGCTTTTGTAAAATAAAGTTTTTGAGGGTCACCTTTCTAAAATAAGTTCATAATTTAGGAGACAGCCATGTTGTATATTCTTGACCATTTTATCATTCCAGTGGATACGTAGCTACAAGAGAGGAAAGTGCTTTCAGGAACAAGAGAAAATGTATTTGTATTTCTTTTTTTTTTTTTTTTAAAGATTTTATTTATTTGATAGAGACACAGTGAGCGAGGGAACACAAGCAGGGGGAGTGGGAGAGGGAGAAGCAGGCTTCCCGCGGAGCAGGGAGCCCGATGTAGGGCTTGATCCCTGGACCCTGGGATCATGACCTGAGCCGAAGGCAGATGCTTAACAACTGAGCCACTCAGGTGCCCCTGTATTTATATTTCTTGAGATCAGCTTTTCATCTGATCTTAGGAGGGCTTAGAATGGCAGCAAATTCTCTCCGGCAGGAGTTTTGCTTCTGGGTGTCAGTGACATCTTTTCCCATGGACAGCTTTTACAACTATCTTTCATTTCCTCCTAGAAAACAAACCTTAAGCAGATGGACAATCCTGTGCCCTTAATGGTGGCAGCACAGGATCCTTCAAGTCTGCCCAGTGCCCAAGACCCAGATGGCCAGTTTCTTGGCTGCACATCGGATCCTGGGGACGGCCAGCCACGCTCGTCTCTTCCGGGAGACCCTGAGCACCCTCCGTGCGGCCATGGGAGCACTGTGGGGGGGATGGAAAGTTCCTCCAATTTGTCAGGTGTGGCTGAGGAAGAGAATACAGACTGTTCCTGTGAGAAGGGAACTAAAGGTGTGGGGAGAGCCGGGGAAGAGGCGGAGCCATCACTGACTGCAGACTGTGGAACGGTGTCTGATCCCAGCAGCTGCCTGGGGAGCACGCCTGCTTGTGGAGGAGAGGGCACAGGAGACTTTCTATCCTGTGGAATCAGAAATGGAGAAACTGGAACAAAATCTTCTGCATGGGCCCCAGAGCAGGAGTCTCCAAGCCCTGGAGACAGTGTTCTGCGGGGAGACGTGGGCATGCAGCTGGGCACCGCTCCCACTCCGCATTTCTTTGGAGGTGACCTGGCAGTCAGCATCCCAGTGACTGCAGGGGAGACAGAATGTGGTCTCCTGAGCTCGGACGCCGCCATCCAGAAGGACGTGCTTGAGGTAAGGGAAGATACAAAGGAAAAGTTTGAGAACTCGAGTGTCAGCACAGCTGGAGTCTCTGATGTAAAAGTCACAAGACAGCCTGCAGATAAAGCCGCTGTTCCAAGCTGTGTCTCTGCCCCCGGCTCCCTGGATGGTAACAAACCTGCTGAGTCTTTGCTTGCGTCTAGCAAGGAAGAAGCCTGCCCTGTGAAAACTGCAGAAACAGAAGCTTCAGGAAGTTGTGAAGGGGGTGCTGGGGCTCCTGTGGATCAGAGCTCCCTGGTAGCTCCAGCTGCTGCAGGAGACACGGCTTCCGGCGGGCTCGATCCTTCTGCTCCCTGGGCAGATACAAGTGAGGCAGTGCCACCCTCTGCTCTGACCTCTTCCGGGCCCCGAAAAGATGCGCCAACCCAGAAACCAGAACCTGATTCGTCTCCCATTCAGAGCTGTTCTACAGCCGGAGGGGACACTGTGTGTGCCACCCCTGCCTGTGGGCAGAGCACAGGGACTTCTGGTGGCGTGCTGGCCGCAGGACACTGTGATGGCCTAGGTACCCGGCCTGAGAGCAGCGGCCCGGGACTGCCCCCCACACAGCATCCCCCCCTGGCCTTCTGCTGTGCAGGTCCACAGGCTCACACAGCTACCCCTGGCCCTCTAAGATTAGACACCCAGGAACAGGTGGAATTTTGTCTTCTCGAAGTTTCGGATACAAAGGGCCAGGGAAAAGATTTGAACCTAGGAACAGCTTTAACAAATATGCTTGAGGTGCCTCCACAGGCAGCTGTCCCCAAAGCCGAGAAAGAAGTGGTGCCGGACCAGGCAGTGACATCAGACGAGACTTCTCTGGCAAGCAGTCCAGGCAGTGAATCAGTAACCACAGATGACACACTTTCTCTTGTCCCCTCCCAGAAAGAAAAGGGAACAGCAACGCCCGAACTACACACGGCTGCAGATAGTAGAGATGGCCCAGGCAGAGATTCGAGCGATCCTGATAAGCAGCCATTAGAAGACGGTGCCACGGGCCTATCTGCGCCCTCCGCTGCTCTCCGTCTTCAGCCCAGCATGGGGAATACCAGTCCCATGGGACTTGGTGGGGAACATGGGGGTCCCTGCCTCTCAGCAGCCCCTGAAGTCCTGGATATCGAGGGGGGCGCTGACTCTTCTCTGCTGCGTGCGGGGAAGGCCACTGTGGCCTCCGATTCCATTCTGACTGAACAAGGAAAAAATCGGGTGGTTCCAGAATGCTCTGAAGCTCAGGGACAAGATGGCAGGGATAAAGAAGTGACTTGTTCCTCTGTTAAGGAAGACACTCGTTCCTCAGGAACATTACAGGAAGAGCAGAGAACACCACCTCCTGGGCAGGAGGCACTGCGATTCTGTGGAGAGCCTAGCTTAGCCGCCTGTGCTGAGGACCGAGCACTTGAGCGCCGTAATTCACCGGGCACACCCTCGGCCTGTCTGAACGCAGAAACTAAGCCTAACAAGGAAGTGGCCCCACCAGTCTCGCTGCTGACTGAAGGTGGGGCTGCACAGAGCCTGGTGCCACTGGGAGCAAGTCTGGCTGCAGGCCCACGCCAGGAAGCCTTGGGTGCAGAGCAGAGCAGCTCAACTCCGTTGCCAGGTCTGTTACCAGATGGGTCAGAGGCTCTTCCTGGCAGTCGATCTTCTGCTCTGGATGTTGGAGTGCAAAACCCTGAATCCCAAGGTAAAAACACTGCTGGTGAGGTGAGCGGAAGTGTGGGGTTGGATGTTGCCGTGGTTAGTGCTTTACAGGATACTGTTGGGGCCAGAACAAAGGCTGTATCACACAACACCCAAGACCTCCCGATTTCCAAAGTCTTGAGCCAGGAGAAGATTATGATCCTGGGTTTGCCAGGAACTTTAGCAGACAAAGGAGTGACTGACCTACAGGGTACTGCAGCTCCAGAGATGGTACCTCTCGGTTGGAAGGAAGCAGCCCACAGCTGTGGCGTGGCCGACTCCAGGGAGCAGCAGGTGGATGCTGACGCACATCGAGTCCCACAGCAGCCTCTTGCCAAAGAGCTCCTCACCGAGACCGGACTCTCAAGCAGTGGTGACCAGTCCCCAGACAGGGCAAGGGGCACTCCCCCTCTACCTTGTGCTGTGTCTCTGCCCGAGAGAGCAGACTCCATCGAGGAGGCTGCAAGTCGCATAGTGGAGGCCGTCCTAGACCAAGTCAAGTCCTCAGGAGCACTGATCACTGGTCTGGGGATCGGTCACACGTCACTGTCCAAGCCTTCAGAGTCTGGCCCGGTGACTGGGCAGCCAGAGAGCACTTCTGCAGGGAAAGGGAGCACTTTTCTGCCTGGGCGAACCCCACACATGGGCAGTATCTCTGAAGAAGCCCCTGGCAACCTTGCAGGGGGTTTGGCTGAAAAGGAGGAGCCCGAGAAGATGGTTCTGCCCGCTGAAGGATCTGAGCCAGCAACAGGTAAGCAAAGCAGAATACAGAAGTAACAGTTTGAGGGACAAACTCCTTTAAGAGCCTCGGAGATATGCTGGTATAAAAAGGAGGCATCTTTGTGGTTTAGAAGTGTCTTTTCATTCATTGGGTAAGTTGCCAAGTTAATAGTCACCCCATCAGGAGAGGCCCGTCCCCTCAGGGTTGGACAGATTTTGCTTCCTGTATTGTAGACTCCGGGCTTGATTGATTAAGCCTGTAAATGCTCCGTCTGCCACCCCAGAGCAGTGGCAATTTTGTTAACCGAGAAAATGGTCTTGATCGCAGGTGCTCTACAATGATAAAGGAATTTAGCAGATGTTTTTATTCACATGGCTTGGTCCTTTTTTCTAGAACCGTGAAAAGCAGTGCTGAAAAAGTATGTTTTGCTTATAAGCCTGGAACACTTTTTTTCCCCTGTCATCCTAGTCCGTATTCTGAGCAAATTTAGAGTCAGGGTGGTTACATGAAACAGCTCTAAGTGTCGTTCTATGCGAATGACCCTACATCCAAAATGGTGGTATTAGGTCATTGGGGAGGGCGGGGGCTGGGACGGGACGGGGCGGGGGAGGGGAGCAGAGAGAACGCCCTCCTTTTCCTGCCTGTGGAGCCGACTTCCAGTTCCATTGCCTGTTGCTTTTGGGCAGCAGTCTGGGAATTCGGGACCGTGCGCAGTGCTGGGGACGGGATGCAGGGTGTCCGCCCAGGTCTGCTCAGCTGCTGTGACAGGACACACGTTGTGTCTGCTTATCTCCGTGAAGCAGCTGCGCGGAGCAGATTGCTCACATAGCGGCCTGTTCCATCTGTGGGTAACCATGTGCAGAGAGAGAGAAGAGAAACCGCTCTGGCTCGGGGGAAATACACCATGTGAATAAAACTTCCTCCTGGGGGTTGAGGCTCAAGCCGAAGCTGGAGTCCGAGGTGGTATTGACTCCTGAATCGTTACAGGTCAGTTCGATTCGTACTTTGATGCCACCACCTGTCACCAGGTGCAGACAGAGGGCCAGTCTCCATGCTCACCCCCAGGCTGTGTGGGTAAGGAGTAGCCTGATTGTTCTTATCGGTCATTTGTTTTTGCTGCTCTTCCAATGTTTGAAAATCTCCCCAAGTGTAGTGTGTGTTAAAAGTGTGGGGGTGGGGCATGTAGAGAAATGAACAAATAGAACCAGAAAAGAAGGTGCTTAGGAAAAAGAGCAACTTAAACACAGTGGTCCTACCCCCACCCCAGCCCTCGATAAAGGGTTTTTAACCATGTATGATTTTTTTTTCCAGTTGAGGCATTTAAGAAGCCTTAGGTACTATAGTGTTTTTGGTGACTTGAGGTTTTTAGTTTTATTCGTGTTTTGGATTGTTTAGTGCTAGAAGTTTGTTGGCTGCTATCTCAGGATTTAAATGAAAAGGTCTCAAATTTTTAAAATAAGATACAACAACAAGTCTATTTTGGGGGCTCTGGCAGGTTGACATTTCAGAAGAATGGGAGTGGCTGTAAGCTGATGCCTGGCTGTGTTCTTTTCATTTGGGTGCTGTGTCTCTGGCCACATGGGCTGGAATTATTTGTCTTTCTGGCTCAGTAGTCCGAATTTAACCCAAGCAAGTGCAAATTATGTGAAGTTTGGGTCTCTGATACCCAGAGAGAAAAGGTGAAAAACGGGGAGAATTTCAGACTTTGATTTTTAGTAGTATGTAGATAAGGTATAGATGCTAAGAAATGATTTTTAAGATTTTAAGGTTTTAGGAAGGAAAACGAGTTGTATGAAGTTTCAGCCGTATCTGTGGGTTTAGGGTTGGTTGACGTGTGTGGGCGAGTTACTTGTTCTGCTACCAAGAAGGGTCATGTGTGTTCAGTGCTCATGGTCTTATGTTACAGAGAGAAGTAGCCAGTGACCAAGAAATAGGTGCTTTCTTCAGGGGGAAAAAAAAAAAGGGCAGAATCAGGGAAAGTTCCAGGTCACATTGCCCTAGAGGAAAAGCACCTGAGTGTTATCTCAGCCAAAGGGTAATTTCTGGGAAGTTTACCTTCCATTAATGGATTTAACCATACTGTTTTACGAGTGAAGAGACTTCGGTGTAACCTCTCACTTGGAAGGAGCCACATGGCACTGGCTGCTGTTTGTAGATGCGGCCAAATAGAAATCAACATGAGAAAACACAAATCAGAAGGAAGGGATGCGGCCCTTCACTCATCCTGCGCATCCATCACAGTGGTTTGGGAAGTTAGTCGTCCATGACTGAGCCAGGCCAGGCCCGCAGAGGTTGTTGGTGCCCCTCGTGGCTCAGTAATCACTGTTCACGGTCGTGATTGGTTGCTGCTTGCCAAGATACATATTTTCATGTGCTGGGTATAGGATAATAAGGTTGTGCCAAAAATCACATCCCCAAATAAATAAAATAGAAGGCATCAACAAACCCAGAAAAATTACTCTTATTTAGAAATGTTTTGATCAGTGAGCACTTCTAAGGTGATTGCTTAGATTTTTTTTTTTAACTTTATTTACATTTTATGAAATGTAACATAGATTTGGTACTTTGGGCAAGGAAACTTGTTTGCCCACTTTTAAATTGCTAGTAAGATTGTATAATTATAAATAAGGGAATTTATGAATGCTCATCCGTAGGAATGTAACTTTCCTAAACCTGATGTAGACCTTTGGGCATGTCACAATGTGCTGTTAGAATAAACTCGATTCTTTAGCGAAAGAAACTGCTCTGTCCTTTGGTGTGTGGAACATCCTTTTCTGCTAGAGTAGTGGTATGACGAGATTAAAACCGTCCACGGAAAAGTTTCCACATGAAATTGAGATGATAGTTCTATTTTCGTTTGTATTATCAAGGTGAATTTTAAACATTCAATCATCAGCCCCCTTTAAAAAAAAAAAAAAAGTCAAAGCTTAAATTTGCCTCAGACATCAAGTTATCACTTCCTTCCTGTATTTGCTTGACCATATGGTGGTCAGGTAACAAAAACTACTACTGTTTGGTCTAGTCAGTATAATTCTAAAGAAAACATATAAAAACATTTTCTTAAGAAAAGGAGTTCCTTGGGGTGCCTGGCTAGCTCATTCGGTGGGGTGTATGACTTTTGATCTCAGGGTTGTAAGTTCGAGCCCCATGTTGAGTGTAGAGATTACTTAAAAGTAAAAATCTTAAAAAAAAAAAAAAAATTCCTTGTTTGTGATTGTTTTGGTTGGGGAAGAAATAAAAATTAAAATATAAAAAATATATTATTTACTAGAATACTCCAGCCTTGTCTGTTGCAGTGATGGTTAGATGAGAGTGTACAGTATGTTTTTAAAGAAAGACTCTTCTTAAAGGTTTTATCTCATTCTCGACAGATCTTTCCTCTTTGTCCTATGCAAATATAAACATCTCTGGCTTCTTTGATGGTGATCAAGATGGACTAGTTAGCTTCAGCTGTTAATCTGTTTCCTTAAAGCTTGTGAATTTACTTTTCCATATTCAGTCAGCACCACACTCAAGGGTTTGTCAGGAAAAGTCAGTAGTGAAAATGGAAGTTCAGTAGACATTGAAGTGCATGTCTCCTTAGCTACAAATCCATACAGAGGCTAGGGGAAAACCATGTGGACCTTGTGATAAAGGAATAGCTCAGCGCGGAGCCCGAAATGACACCAGCTCCAAATGAACACTTTCCCATTTAACACAAAAGCAAAAGCAAACAAAACATGTGAAGCCTGGATGTGTTGTGTAAATGCTAAGACACAGGAACTGATTTTTCAGACGCACTTTGTAACCCCCTTGTTCTCTTCAGAAATGCCAGACTTGAAAGCTGCAGACGAAGTGGATTTTCTGAGTAATACCAGGGCGAGCTCGGCTTCTGCAGAGGTGGCCATAGGAGTGGGAGACCCAGCCACCACACCTGACGTGAAGCAAGGCCTGGCGACCCGGGCGGTAAGTGGCATTAAGTCTGTAGGAGCACAAAATGTGTTTAGCCTGGTCTCTTGTGTCTGATTTGTGGCCTTTGTTTGTTTGTTTGTTAGGGGAACTTTTTAACAGTAGTATTTCCCCCCTTTTCTCTTGTCCCATCACGTGTAGATGTGGCTGTGTTGCTGCGTTCAGCTTTCATACACAGCATGCACCACCCAGCATGGTTTTGGAACGGGCCCTTCTGCATGGGTCCCTTGGAGATTGTAATGAAAAAGATTTGCCCTGTGAGCACTGGACTTGAGTTTGTCATCGTGTTTAACGTGTCGCAAAATGAGAGTTACCACAAAAAGGGATCTAGTAACCCTTCTTAAACCTGACTGCTCTTTCTTTATATAGAAACTGATAGCAAAAAATGAGATTTTAACTTAGAGTTCACTACTAGCTGTCTAAAATGTGCAGCATGTCATTTTTAGTGACAAAAAAAGTTCACTAGTTTTTTTTTTCTAACAGCTTTATTGAGTTATGATTCACACACCGTAAAATCCACCCATTTAAGTGCACAGTTTAGTCGTTTTCAGTAGATTTCAGAGCACTGGTCACCACTGATGTCAGAACGTTATCATCACCCCAGAAAGAAACCTCATATGCATTAGCAGCCCATCCCTCCCCACTGTCTGGCTCCTGGGTGTCCCTCATCTCCCATCTGTCTCCAGCATCTGCCCATTCTGGAACATCACATGGGATTATATAGAACTATGTGGTCTTTCACAAGAGGTTTTTCTGACTTAGTTTACTGTCTCAAGGTTGAACCATGTTGTAACGTTGGTTAATAGTTTGTTTCTTTTCGTTGCCAAGTAATACTCCATCATATGGAGTATTGATCTCTGTGTTTCTGCTCTTGGGCTGTTATGAATAATACTGCTAGGAACCTTTGTGTACAAGTTTGTGTGGATATATGTTTTCATATACCCAGTAGTGGATTTGCTGGGTCACTGGTAATTCTATGTTTAATACTGAGTAAGTTTTCAAAAATGTTTTTTTTTTCAGGTTCTTGAGATTCTTTTTGTTTAAAGCTATTAACTTAAAACAATGAAACAAACTTGTTGAAAGAAACAGTGCTCTAAGCTTTAGAGTTCTTGCTAGTTAATAAAAAAAAAATAGGTAAAAAAACCCTTTGGAAGCTGAAAATCAAGTTTCTAAGACTAAATCATATTTTCCCTCAGAAAATCAATCTTCTTTGTCTAGACTTGACAAGGCCCTGTTTTTGCTCTTCAGAGGGCTACGTGGTACTTTTTTCTTAAAGTTGCCCCAGTAGGTGAACAGAACTGTACCCTTCCAAACTGTTCCAAGTGTATGAACTGTGATAAACAAACTTCATTTTATTGGAGTCCAGTGGTAGGGAGGTGCGGACTGTTGTAACCCGCTCCTCATTACAGATGATGTTCATGACTAATGCCTGGGCGGCTACTTGTAGAGCAAAAGCAGCATTCAAACAAATGTCGCTCTTGTCCCTGGGGAAAGAAAAGAGAACACACCCTGCATGGGTACATGTGTGTCTTTGTTTCCAGGAGCCCCGAAAAAAGGGAAGGAACAAACTCACATCCTTGAATTCAAATGCCTGTTTCTTAGTCTTCCATCCTAACATAGTACTAATTACTGTCACTGAAGACAGCCTGCTGCTTGGTTATAGACCCTTTCCTTTCCCATGAGGGTTACCTCTATCCCAGTTTTATCGTGTCTATTATAAAGAAGAAAACAAAACATTACCTTTTTTCTCTCTCTCTCTCTCTTTTCTCATTTTTCCTCTGGTTTTAGAGGAGTTGAGAGAGAGAATGCCCCTCTGGTTGGTCAGCATGTCTCATTTTCCGAGTGAAAGGCTTAGACCCTCAGAGAGTGCCATGACCAGCCCGAGGTCAGACGCAGCCAGAATGAGAGCGAGGAGCTGGATTTCTGCCGACACAGCAGGGACGTCCCTGCTGACGGCCGCAGGCTCTATGAGCAGGGCTTCTGAGGAGTGGCCCTGGGCATCCGTGACCTCTCGGTTGTTGGGAAGTACTGGTGCCTTTGGCGATGTGTCTGCCTCCACTTGGAAGAGTTGGAGAAGACCTGTGTCCCTGCGTCCTCAGGTCCAGCAAGTGCCGGGGTGTGTGCTCACAGCGTTGTTGTACTGATGTGATATCTGACCGCTTACCTCTCCTCCCTGTTGTTCTGCAGCACTTGCCCTGTTTGCTGTGGAGTGAAAGGATAAATCGTGAGCACACACTGGGACGTTCCCCGGGTCTCACGTTCTTGTTTTTCTTTCCCGTTGAACTCTTCATATACTGTATTCACTGTGTAGGTTTTCAAGAAGTCCACAGACTTTTGGTAAAGGACAGAGGGTGAGTATTTTAAGGCTCTGTGGGACAGGCTGTGTCACGACTCGTCAGCTGTGCTGTTTTAATGTGAAAGTAGCCATAGGCTGCATGTAAACAAGAGCGTGACTGCGTTCCAATAAAACTTTATTGGTAGACCCTAAAATTTGAACTTCACGTAACGTGCGGGCCATGAAATACTCCTTTTTGAACAATTTTTTTGTTGCTCATTTAAAAATGTAAAACCTACTCTTGGGATTTTTCATGGGCTACACAAAACCAGGCGTGGGCCCCTGGCCTAGAGAATGCTTGTGCGCCAATGGATGAAAAGAAGGAGAAAGCAGGGGCGCCTGGGTGGCTCAGTCGTTAAGCGTCTGCCTTCGGCTCAGGTCATGATCCCAGAGTCCTGGGATCGAGCCCCGCATCGGGCTCCCTGCTCGGTGGGGGGCCTGCTTCTGCCTCTCCCACTCCCCCTGCTTGTGTTCCCTCTCTCGCTGTGTCTCTGTCAAATAAATAAATAAAATCTTTAAAAAAAAAAAGAAAAGAAAAGAAGGAGAAGCAAGTACACTTGTTTGCTTTCCCACATTGTTCTGTTCGTTTTGTGGTGGAAACGCTTGGTGTTAGACTGCACGTTGGAAGGCAGAGAGTTTGCTTCTGGGTCTCTCCTGAGTTAGCTTTTTGACTTAGCCTCTCCAGAGCGTGGCTTCCTTAACTCCCTCTACCTTCGGGCCTTAACACCCTTGACTGTGTGTTCGTAGTCTGAAAAGGGTTACTTTTCACCCTGAAAGAGTGAGCTTGAGGTTGTAGTGGAGGGTGGAGTGGAATTAGTGTAATATTATTTAATCCTATCTTTCTGACACATGCCCAGGCTGTGTGTTGACCTTGGGAACAGGCCAGTCATTGCTTCACTGAATTACTGTTTCACTGAATCATCCTCTTCCAGTTTTAAAACAGAAGTTGTATATCTTATGTTACTGTCTTGAAAGCCTGGAACGGTGGTGCATTTATGGCAATATCCTAGTAAATGTAAATGAGGAATCCATTCAGAGTTCTTAAAGGACTCTCCCTGTTCCATCACCTTCTCTAAGCACCGAAGTGTCAAAGTGCATACAACCCTCTGCTGAGTGTGGCACTACCAAGTATGTAAGGAATTTTGCATTCCTTCACCTGTTTGAGCATCGTGCTGTAGACAGACCCTTACCTGAGAGGTCAGTGATGCTTGAAATCGTGGGTCATAAAGGAATTAGTATCAAGATGAATGCTTGCATATATTCTCTGAGAAAATATAGGTATGTGTTAAATGTTGCAGGTTTCTCAATAGACGATGGGTGGTCCAAGGAGATACTTCTTCACTGGGTTGAAAATTGTTCACAGTTTAGGAGACCAAGTCATTCACTTACACATACTGTGGCCTATTCTCATTAGTCATTTTATCAGCATTTTATGGTTGTGGTTGTTACTAAGTATTGCCGACGCTTTAATACTAGTCACAATTTAATATTCAACATTATCCCCTCTTACATTACGGGTTTCAGGGTTCTCAGATTACCTTTTGTTGCCTTCTTTTCCACCCCCAGTCAGTGAGTTAATATATATCAAGCACTTAGAACAGGACCTGGCACACAGAAAGTACAGCTTTGCATTTCCATATCTTTAAGTAGCCAGTGGCATATGGTGGTTCCTAAGTCAAGACACAGTTTCTGTTTCTCTATTATTGTTATAAAAGCTTTAGGAATAGCATCAGACATTAATTTGAGTTGGGAGACATGGAGCTTGTTGTACCTCTGGGACCTTTAGAATTTGAATGGACCTTAAAGACTCTGCAGTCTCAACATTTTTACTTTATAGGAGATGGTTTCAGGATGGTTAAGTGACTTATTTCACAACTAATTAATCTTTAAGCTAGATTAGGACCTGACTTCTGTTTTAGTAATGTTTCTCCTATACTGTGGTTTCCAGAAAAGTCAAACTGGGAGGTTATACTTTTCAGGAATCCAATTCACCTGGGTGGGTTTTTGCATTCTACCCCAGAATGATGCTTACACATACTAAGACTCTAAAACCATTACATTATACTCCTGTGTTTTTCCGATGGTTGAAAAAATTCCTTTGGCCATTTTAGGACATAAGTGATTGACTTTAAAATAAGTCTCATGTTCTTATCACAGTCTGTTAGCTGCAGCTAAATATCACCAAGATACTGTTTGTCCAAAGAGTTGGCTTTTGCTGCAGAAATTACTGAGATTTTCCAGACCTGCCTTTTATTTCCTAAAGAATGCTATGACTAGGTATAGAGATGACATTGGATACTTAAGTGCAGAATAGAAAGTGTTCTGGGACCATTCTTTTTGAGAATATGCTCCATGGTGATCAGGAAAGAATTCTGACTTCTCTCCTGCCTGAGGGCTGCAGACCAGCACACTCCATGTCTTGTAGGATTCTTTACCCTTCAGTATGTGGCCAGGTGCATTAGGAAGGAACTTGCTTCCCTGGGGTGTCTGTTCATTGAGGTATCTCTATAATAATTCCTTTTCCAAACGCTCATCGCATAAGCTTATTAGCCATTTGGAACAGTTAATTCAGCAGGCCTGTATATCTTGTCAGGATGCCTATGGTCCTAGCAGCCAAACACTCAAGCACAGATATGTTCAAGCACAACTATAAAATCCCATATGTTGAGTATTAGGTTACTGGGAAAGTCTACTCTTCATTTAACACACAGTCCCCAATCAAGAAAGCAATGTAAATCAGAACCATTCTCCCTTTTTTAATAACTACACAGCAAAACATCACATTAACTGAATTTCCATTCTTAATTATTTTTACAAAAATATTAATATTTGTTTCTTCAGGGTTGTGGAAAGGGCAGTGTTGAACTATTTCCGGTTAAAATCTTGAATTCTGTCTCTCTTTCTGTTATTTTTAATGGAACGCCGTGTTTTCTTTCTCTTGTCTCAAGGGGGCGAGCTTGCATTTCCATCTCTAGTCCGGGAGTCTGCCTAAAAGCTTTAGCTTTGTGT